TCCTCCTCCTGTTTGTCTACTGGACCTGGTCACCCAAACTTTCAAAAGCAGCATGGGGAAGGTGTGGCAAATAGTGACAGAAAAGGAAAGGAGGGAAGGCTCTGAGCCACAGCTTCAGCCTGATCCCCATCTTTTAAAGTGCTGGTTACTTTAATGTGGCTGAGGTGGTCCTAAAGCCTCTCTAGGCCCCTTGGATGAAGGTACCTACAAGAGTAGGCTAGTTCAGAGTGTTTACGGGCTTTGAGGTACAAGTACAGAGACAAGGCCTGAATAACTGGCATCAGCCTGCTGGGGTGTCGTCTCTAAGGAAGGAAAACGGAGATAGACCCCATAAAATACCTGACCAGGACCATTTATTAACAAACTAATTTATTTCTCAGAGTCTAAAACCTTCTGTGCACAGCCTCCCCGGCCTTGATGGAGATCCAGCACCTTAAGCTTCAAACTCAAACTCGAAGTACTGTGGGTCGAAGTAGTGGATTCGGACATACCCATCTTCACCACCGCTGCTGTAGCTGGAAGGGAATGGCCAGGCAGTCAGTACCTGCTGTGGGAGGGGTGGCCTGTGTGGCCAGCAAGGGAAAGGGCAGAGACTGACAGCTCAGATCACTCCATTCACTGGGAACCTACCTCTTGCCATCAGGATGGAAGGCAACACTGTTGATAGGTCCAAAGTGGCCCTTGACTCTTCCAAACTCCTCTTCAAAAGCCAAATGGAAGAACCTGGAGGAGCGGGTGGAGAGATCAAATTAATTCAGTTTCCACCTCTTTCTAAAACACATCGAAGGCAGCATTCCACAAAATGAACACTTCCCAACAGAACTAATAAAGCAGGGAATTAGGGTAATGGAAAGAGAAGTAAGATGGAAGTATAGGAAAACTACACCCAATGTCCATCTAAATGCAGTTAACACTGAGAGCTTACAAGTGCTGGGCAGTGCACTGAACTTTAATAAATATTAACTCACTTGTTTAATCTGGACAATTTTATGAGGTAAGTACGTTATACAGTTGAGAATCTGGGGTACAGAGAAATAAAGTATCATCTAGGGCCTCAGAGTTCAAGATCTCTGTTGTTTAGAGAAGGAGATCCTGTAGTCCAGGTGGAGTTGCTAAAGCCAAGGATGACCTTGAACTGATCCTTCTACTTCTTTGGAGTAACTGGGACTGTATTACAGGCTTGGGTGCCACCACCTGGTTTTGGTAGTACCAGGGATAGACCCCAGAGCCTCTGATATGCTGGGCAAGCACTTTATCCAAAGGTAAACCCCCAACAAGCGTTCATGACCTCAACTGCTTTAATATATTAGACACTTGCCCCATGACCTGTAATTCTAGTGCCCACTATGGTTTATGTTTATTCTGAAAGACCCTCTCCACATGGCTTCAGTTTAGAACTCCCTTCCAGCTGGGCGTGGTGGCACATGCCTTTAATCCCAGCCCTTGGGAGGCAGAGGC